CCCAGGCAGTGGGGGTGGATCTCACAGTGAAAACCCTACTGAAAAGGCTCGCTCGCTCGCTCTCTCTTTCTCCTCTCTTGTTCATTGAAGAAATAAACCTGAAAAAAATTTACCAGATGAGGGGCCAGCAGGTGGTGTGGTGATTAAGGTGCTGGACTCCCCACATGGCCAACCTTGGCTTGAGTTGTTAAAAAAAAAATTTACACAAACCAAAATTTAACAGTTTAAACAAAGGGTAGGCGATTTAAATCAGGCAGCCTCCCGGAAGATGGTTTCAGAGAGACTACAACTAGCCCTACAGCTAGCCCTGCAGTTTACAAGGAATGTGTGTGGGTGGAACAGGAAAAGTGGTGTGTGTGGTAGGAAAAAAGGAGTGTTGTCCAAAAACCTAGGTGCATAGTGAGGTAGAGAGACCATTGTTACAGGTGGGAGGAGGCTGCACAACCAGGCCAAAAGGTGGGCTTTCTGTGACCAGCTGAAATGTGATGAGCGTGATTGGCTGGGGGGGTGGGTCGGGAACAGCCTAACAGGTACGATGATTTCCGCTTATCCAGAGGGATCCAAATGTGAGAGTACATCGGCCATTTTAGGCCAGGATAGTTTACTTGATGAGTCCTGGACCCAGCAGCTTGAAACTCATGCAGGGCGTGTGTATATGTGTGCCCAAAATCCAAGGAGGAGAATGGAGGAGAAAGGTCCGTGGCTTGGCCAGCCCCCTTGAAAGGTGATTTTTCACTTTCCCTCTCACCGTCTCTCTCTGTCTCTCCAGTAAGCATACATGCCCTCTAGCAAAAATCGTTTGTTTTTTTTTTTTTAATGTACTAGATGGGTCTACTAAGGCTTCCCCCTTAGTGGTAAGGCCTTAAACAAGGAAGGAGTCCACAAGAAAGTGACTGTTTGCTTTGGGTGAGTTTGAAGTTAGGACATCTGGGTATGCTGGAAGTACAAGAGCCCTGGCTGGGAGGAATGCCCCTCACCCATGTGCACACACACACACACACACACACACACACACTCCTCCCTATTCTTCAGGCCCTCCTCAAACGCCAGCGTCCCATGGGCTTTCTCAAACCTGTCTCTATTGGAACTGGCAGGAAACATCCCCCAACTAGCCAGCCAGGTTTACTTATTGTTACCAGGCTGAAAAAGAGGCTGTTATTTCACAGCAGAGATAAAAGTTAACCACAGATTAGGACTGCGCAGAAATATCGATGACTTCATTCCCCTGAGTACTAGCCTGGGGGAAGTGCTCTCCCCTCAGCTGCCAAACCAGTTTAGCCAGTTCTCTGCTCCTCAGACTGCAGTTCCAGACTTAAACAAAAGCCGGGCCCCATGAATAGGCAGCTTTCACCAGGGCTCTGAGTCACCCTGCGGGCCTACTGCGTGCTCCGCACCTCCACGTCTGATTGGAGGAGGTCTCCGTTGACTTCCCGCCCTGCCTTTGCGCTGGACCCTCCCAGCCGCACTCCCTCTCTCATTCCAACCTTTATCTGGCCGCACCATCACCGGGGAGACTCCCAAACAGAAAACCAGACAGGAAAGAGCAGACAGAAGTTACAAAATACAAGTGCCCGTGTTCAGAGATGGACTGCTTTCTCGGTTCTGACCGTGAAGGTTTAGGACTTGGTAATTTATCCCTCTGGGAAATGTAAACATGGTTCACAATTCGTGCTGTGTCTGAAATAAAAACCCAAGTTACTATTGTTGGTTCCAAAATGTGAGGCCACTGTACTAGTGGCGCGGGGAAACAAGAGTGTAGGAAGCAGAAAGCACTCAGGCTGCTCTAGGGCACAGTCCTGTTCCCCTGGGACCTCCCTGTGCTCAACTGGGGACCTTCTGAAGCATGTGACATTCCCCACCCACCTCAGCTTTGGCTGTCACAGGACCAGGGTGGTGTGGGTGTCAAGAGAAGCCACCTGGAGTTTTGGTGGGTGGGGAAACTGAACTCTAATAGGAAGGACAGGGATCCTTAAGGCCAGGTAGGGCAGGGCACTATGGAGGTGCTTCAAGACTATGAGGATACTTTGTAGAAAGCAGCTGACGGTGCCATTTCTGTTCCCAAGGATGGAAGGAAAAGCAATCACAAATGACAATGAAAGAGATTCCTCCTGCCCAGTGCTCCCCTGGCCTTCCGGGGAGGGTCTGTACCCCTCAGTTTACTGCTCTACAACCCCCAACTCCCAGCGTGCTCCTTTTCTGTTCCAAACCCATTCTTATGGTGGCTGCCCTCCCCCCACTCCTCCTGCTGCTCCACGTGCAATCTCTTTGTCTCTTTGTCCCCTTCGGCTGGCCCTGTTCCTGCTCAGCGCACACTCTACTCCACTTTGCTTGATTCTGCTTTTAGACCTCAGTGTATTCCAGCTGCTGCAGAAACCTTCCTGGGGCTCACACTGTTTTCTCCTTGGGCCCTCCTCCCAGGTTACCCTGCCCCTTATCCTTTCCACACCTCATTAAGCATGAACCAGTGTTACATCTCTGAGGATGCCCAGTGGGGTAGAAAAATGGATTGGAGGGGGTAGTGCAGAATCTAGAAGCTTCAGAAAGACAATGGTGTTAAGACGATGTCAGTGCTGCCACCAGGTCAAGAAGCTCCAGGTTAGTGAGAACCAATGAGATGGTGCTCCAGGGGTCAAGGAGAGCAAGAAAGAGAGAGAGTGCAGAGCAGGCGGGCAGCTCAGAATGCAGGGGAAGGGTAGACTCATAGGCTAGAGGGACCGCTGGAGGAGACAGGAGACACACTGCCACCGCTCAGCATGGCGCTGGGGGACAGAAGTGCTGGCACGCAGCAGATCAACCACAGCACTCTGTTTCCAATGCACCCCAGGTCCCGACACCCCAGAGAGCAGCAGCAGCCCTGGGCACAGGTGCGGGCACTACGGGCAACACCCACTTAGAGAGAAACAGGACGGGCATGCTGAGAGCTGCAGGCTTCCGTAGCTGAGAGATCTTCGAAGGCCCAAGTTGGATTCTAAGTGTGATTCTTCTGTTCAAGAGAGATTTTTGCTATAGGGCATGTGCATGCAGAAAGGCAGGAGACAACCACAGCATAATCCCTTCTCCTCCATTCTCCTCTTGGGATTTTGGGCATGCACGCACACACATTTGGTGGTTTCTCAAGCCACAGGCCGGGGGACTCACACTGTGCAGTTGGCTTTGTAGGAGTCAGCCACCTAACCACCACGCCACCAGCTGGCCCTAGATTTTGTATAAAGAATAATAATACCTGTCATAAGAGCTGAGTGGAAGCACACAACAGTGGAACAAATTCCTTATCTGTTCTTTTCAAAAAGAGAAAGGACAAGAACAGCCCCTGCTTTGGCACCCAATCTGGCTCGCCGCCCCTAACTCGCAGCGTGACCGTGGGCAGAAGGCAAAGCCGGCGTCCACTATGGGGACTCCGTGGCTATTTTGATTTTCAGTAATGAAACAACATGCTGTTTCAGGAGATGCGTGCAATCTAAATGAAATAGTAACATCTGCGAAATTTCTTAGCATGGTCCCAGCACATAGTAGGAGCACAACAAATGTTTGCTTCCCTTCCGAGAAGCTCTGAGGCCTTGAAAGTGACTATGGTCAGGAAGGAACCCGAGTTTGCCTTCACTAGTATAAATCTGGACACAGGCCTGCACTAAGTGGCCCCTAACAGCACCTCTGGGGCCCTCAGGAAACTCGCCACCCCCTGCCCCCCAGAAAACATTAGTATCTACCAGTGTCATCTTTCCAGTGTCCTTCATACCTGACAGGGGGCACCCCTGGTCAGGCCAGGGTAGCATTGTCTCCTGAGGCCAGCACAGCCCTGGCTGCTCGGAAGAGACACACAACTCTTTGTTTAAAAAAAAAAAAAAAAAGTAAATGGGTCAGCAGGTGGCAAGGTGGTTGAGGCGCTGGATTCCCACATGGCCACCCGCCATTTGAGTCCCGGACCTGGTGGCTTGCTTTCTTACTTCCCCTCTTTCTCGCTCTGGTGAGTGCACATGCCCTATAGCAAATTAATAATAATAAAATTAAATAATTCTTAAAAAAAAAAAAAGTAAATGTGATCCAAGAGATGGCGCAGTAGTGGATGCAGTGCTCTGTGAGGACCCAGGTTCTGAGCCCTCTCTGAGTATGGACATGCAGGACATGCAGGTGCCCGTTCTCCAGGGCTCACTGAGCCTGAGGGTGGATCGTAGCATCAAGACCGTATTCCAGGTACTCTCGCTCTCGCTCTCTGTCTCTATTGCTCACGGAAGGAATACTTAAACTTCAAAAAGTGTTTAGAATGAGTAAATGGGTGAATGCAAAAATAGGAAATAACATCAAAGAGAGAACGAGAGCAAAATAAAAATTACGACTGGGGCTTTGCTTTCCTTTTTTTCTTTCTTTCTCTCTTTTTTTGGAAAGGTTTTTTTTTGCTATAGGGCGTGCGCGCTCACCAGACAGACAGGAAGAGATAGAGAGACCGAAAGTGAGAAATCAACCCCCAGGGGAGATGGCCACGCCACAATCCCTTCTCCATTCTCCTCTTGGGATCTCAGGCACGCATGTTCATGTGCCCGGTGCCCGGTGTGAGTTTAAGCCACCGTATCCTGGACTCGAACTGCAGTGGACTATGTGGGAGTCCAGTGACACAGCCATTATGCTAACTGCTGGTCCCTGGGCTTTGCTTTTAATCTGAAAATTGGGTCACCTACCTCATTTTAACCTCTTTCTAAATGAAATCTCACTGTCAGTAAATCAAGTGTGGCTTAGAACTTGCACTGTGGGAAGAAGAGAAAGAGTACTTGCAGCCCTGAAGGCTTGAGTCTGTCTAGTGAAGCAGGATGTGGCCGGTTCCTAGTAGGACTGTGTTCAGAAGGGACTTGCATTTGGAGTCCGTCCTTTCTAGGCGTGCACATGCTCCCAGGCACTGGGGCGTCCTGCATGTCACCATGACTGGAGATCCCCTCCACTGCTCAGTCACCTTTATCTGACTACAGCACCCTGAGTCCCCCGCACTTGGACACCCCCGAGCCCGGCTCCAGCGACTCAGAACTGCTCGGGTCCCTCTCAGAGCCCCTGCTGCCCGATGCCTCCCTGCCCTGTCCAGTTCCCTGCTGCCCTCCTCGGTCCCAACTGTGGAAACTTCTCTGCGGCTTCTCAGCTTCACAAGAAAGGGCTCATGCTTTACAGGCCTCCAGCTCTCTTCTCTTCTTGGTGGTGAACTAACACAGCACATTGCTTGGGTTTGAGCTTTAGGTAATCTTTATTTTTCTTTATAAAATTCATATATGCCTACGTTCTCATTGGAAATAATTTATACGATTTAGAGAAAGCAAGAGTCTCTCTGAACTTTCCTACTTTCCATTACGTTTTCGTTTCTGTGAGCTGGGTGGTCATCTCCTTTATCCATTTTTCTGTTGAGTTACCGGTCTGGGTCTTTTTCTTACTGGTTTATAGGAGTTCTTGATTGAATCTGGAAAATAATCCAGAATTTACCTTTGTGTGTGTGTGTGTGTGTGTGTGTGTGTGTGTGTGTGTGTTTGTGCACATGCCATGGTCTGAGCCAGCTGGGGCTAGGGGTGAACTACAGCATGGGGGACCTGTTGGAGGTGCTCATGTCTCCATCTCTCCCTGTCTCTCTCTATTAAAAGAAATGAATAAACTTTAAAAGAAATTGATTGCCTCTGTATTGAACATGTATAGACTTCATTTCTTTTTTAAAAAACTTTATTTAATTTTACTTATTCATTTACTTATTTTAATTTGACCAGAGAGATAGACTCATAGAGAGAGAGAGAGAGAGAAAGTGAGAAAACAAGCCACCAGGTCCAGGACTTGAACCGTGGTTGGCCATGTGGGAGTATCCAGCACCTTAATCACCATTCCAACTGCTGGTCCCCTAGACTTCATTTATTATTATTCTTTAAACAATATAGTATTGGGTCCATGATACACCCTTCTCTCACTCTTTTTTAAACTATTTATACAACCCCTACCTCATATTCAGTGTTATAAATAATATAAAGATGATTTAAAGTATACAGGCAGATGTGTGTAAGTTACATGCAAGTACCACACCATGTTGCATAAGGGACTTGAGTATCTACGGATTCTTACATCTACAGGAGGTCCTGGAACCAATGCCCTCCCGATACCAAAGGGACAGCTGTATACATACATACCTACATACACACATATGACAAATCTCTTATGCTGTCACTTGTCTTTTATGTCAGCTGACAACAATTTCTGATTTTGAATCAGAAGTTTCACATGTTGGTGAAGGCACACTTTTCTGTCTCTATTCGCCTTTGTGGTTTGTGTCTTGCTCAAGGCCTTCCCTGCCCTTCTCTAAGGCTATGAAGGAGCTCTCCTCTATTTTCTTACAGTCTTTCTCCCATGAGTAGGCAATGGCCCAGCTCATTTGCTGATGACCCCTCCCTCGATGGTGTGAAAGGCCACCTTGACCCCAGCTCTCATGGGTCTGTCTTCAGGGGAATTTTGAGATTGTTTTTGCTGCACGGTGTCCGGAACTTCTTCTTCCCTAATTCTTGGAAAAGTTTACTGTCTGCTGCTGGCTTTCTGTCTCCCCTCCCTGCCCAGGTGAGGAGTCTGTCCAGAGGTTGCGCTTTGAACAAAGTTTGGCTTTATCTCCAGTCCCTATTTGCTAACTCATTTGAGAATTCTGCCAGAGATTAACATCAGAAGTACCCTCCTAGAGTTTACTTAGTCTGCTCCCTGAAAACTAGCGCATTTGTCTGCCCTGGCTGTCTTCTGGCACCTCAGAGAGTGACTGGTCTCTGCATGACCTTTCGTTGGCCAAGCTCCCCCAAAAGAAATGTCCGCCTGCAGAAAAAGTAGAAAAAAATCCTTTTTTTGCAGTGGAAATCTACTGCAGACAACAAACCTATCCTAGCCCTTTTTTTCTTCTTTCTTTCTGTCTTTCTTTCTTTCTTTTCTTTAGATTTTTCTATACGGCACATGTGTTTGCTAGAGACAAAGATAGTGAGAGAGAAAGTGAGAAATCATCCCCGGGGGGATGGCCATGCTGAATGATTTTCAAACTGTCATGTTCGGGACTCAGACCACAGTTGGCCATGTGGGAGTTCAGTGCCTCAACCATCACACCATCTGCTGACCCCAGCTCTAACTTTTTTTTTTTTTTGAGAGGTTTTCACTATAGGGCACGTGCGCTTGCCAGACAGACAGAGACAGAGAGACAGACAGCAAGAAATCACCCCCCAGGAGCATGGTCATGCCGCAATCCCTTCTCCTCCATTCTTCTCTCTGGATCTTGGGCACGCACGCACACGTACCCGGTGTGAGTTTTAAGCCACCAGGCCGGGCCACCACCCGCGGTCGACTATGTGGGAATCCAGCGACATAGCCATTACGCTAACTGCTGATCCCCCAGCACTGACTTTTAAAACACGACTTTTGGACCGTAAGAATTCCCTTTTCTTTTTCTCTTTTAGGTTTTTGCTATAGGGCATGTATGCTTTCTGGGGAGAGACAGAGAGAGGGAAAGTGAGAAGTCATCCTTCAGGGAGGATGGCCACTCGGCAATCTCTTCTCTCCCATTCTCTTGGGATTTGGAGCATGCACACGCACACACACACACACACTCGGCATGATTTTCAATCCACCAGATCCGGGGCTCAAACTGTGATTAGCCATGTGGGAGTCCAGTGCCTTAGCCCCTACGCCACCTGTTGGCCCCACAGGCTTCCTATTCTTCTCTCCCCTGCTTACCCTTGATATTATCATTTCAAATATTGCAGAGTATTCCCAGTGTACTGCTTTTTTGTTTGTTAAATTTCACCAGCTATTACACATGGGAAGGGGACACTTTGTGGGGGGATATTGTGTCCCAGTCTCTTGTTTAGAGGTACACACTTCTACAGCCATCGGGTCCCTGGTGCATCCTTCTCTAACTTTTTAAAAAATACTTGCTAATTTCTTCCATGAGCAAGAGAGACTGAGAAGAGAAAGAGCAAGCTGGAGAGACATTTTCAACAGGGTTCTTACGCTGCCCTACATCTTTAGTCTCTGCCAGTCCAGGTCACTGCCACATAGGGAGGTCACGGGGCATGAACTCGGGATCGTTTCCACATGGGCCCAGTGGTGTTATCGCTGTATTATTGGCACATTCCACTCTGCCAAGCCAGGAAATTCGTCTCTTAGTCACCTCACCTGCAAAGTACAACTACTAATGCTGCCCTCAGCCCAGCCAGGGTGGTGTGAGAGGCTAAGACACTGTGCTCTACAGCCTGGAACTGCTAGGAAACCCATGTTCAATTCCTGCTCCAACCTAAAGGCCAGGCGCAGTAGTACATGCCTGCAATCCCAGCAGCTTGAGACTGAGGCGGGGGGACTGCATGTCCAGTTCCCCTGCCTGGCCCACCTTCTCCCACTTTCGATGCCTTTTCTGCCCAACCCTCTGTCTACTGAGGATTTAAAAAATCTGTCTTGCCACAAGGACAAAAAAAGCCCTAGATGCCTCAGAAAGATATGTAAAATGGAATATCTGCTCCCTGATCATGAAGAACTCACTGCAGGTGTAGATACATGGAGTAGAATCTTTAAGACATGGCATACATTGGGTCATGAGGGTGGGAACAAACTGCTGCTCCCATTATGGTTAAACAAAGCAGGTCTAGTCCAGTGGGTGGTGTGGTGATTAAGGCTCTGGACTCCCACATGGCCAACCACAGTTCAAATCCTGGGCCTGGTGGCTTGCTTTCTCACTTTCTCTTTCTCTCTCCCCCTCTCTCTCTTTCTGGTGAAATTAAAAATAATAATCATCAAAATTAAATAATTCTTATAAACAAAAAAAAAAAAGAAAGAAAAAAAAAAGCTCACCATTTTACTGTTGGAGGTGAAGACCAGATCCCCTTTTGAAGGCACACGTGATGAAATAAATAAAACAGGGAGAATCAGAAGACAGGGTGAGGATAGTCCTGGCTCTGACACCTTCTTGCTGTGGCACCTGAAAGAGCCCCTTCACCTCTCTGGACTGCAGCTTCCTCATTTGCAAAATGGAGAAGGTCCCGTCTACATCCTCGTGTTCAGGGCATTGCACAAGCTAACGGGAACAGCTTTGCCAACAAAAAGATACAGAATTGTTGGCGCAACTCTTTTCATGGGAGCCAAGCCCAGCGCCTGCCTCGGGGCCTGGCTGTGTCCTCACCAACACATGTATATGTGTGTGTGTGTATGTTGGGGGAGCTGGTCCCCCTCCTGGCCTTGGGGTCTTAATAATCTTCCTCATACAGTACAAGTCAACCAATTTTACTTTGTAAAATAAAAGTGGGAAGCATTAGAACTGGGCTTTTATAAGTTTGTTTTGTTTTTGAGTTTTATAAGTTTTACAAGGTGAAACCCAGTATTCAGATCACTGGTAGAAGTGTCTCTTGGGGTTTTATGGTTTTCTAAGATTGAGTCTGGGGAACATTTTAGACCAGAAAGAGCACCAGGCTAAGAGGTTCCACAGCCAGAGCTGAAGAGTACTGAGCTAGAAACACTCCCTCCCAGGGAAGGGAGCCGTTCCTGGGAGTCCTGGCCTTTCTGGACCCTCTGTCTCCAGACAGGCCTAATTGCCTCGGAAAACTGAACCTGATGTATGGTCTTCCTTCCCAGACTATCAAGCTGCTCCTGCCTGGCTGTTGGGGATTTGTGGAGAGCAACCTTCCAATCACATGATGTGTGATTTTGAAAGGCATCTCTGAGGTGATTTTGAAAACCAGTTCAGGAAGCTGGAAAGGAACAGTTCCTAGAATCCTGTGTGGCTGCTGGGTGCCAAGATGGACCTGAGGTAACGAGGAGCCAATGGCAGGGGAATCTTGCCAAGTAGACAGATGGGTCAGGATGGAGGGAGGCAGCTTCCAGAAGTCTTCAAGATGGTCCTGACGCTTTTGTTCAGCCAGTGTTAGCCAGGGTTTCAGTGTTGCCCCTTTCCCCTCCCCTGTGCCATCCTGGCTCTCTCCCCACTTCAGTGCCTTGGCGGGGACTTCCCTCCAGCTTCCATCCCAACCAAGTCTCAGTTTCTCTTCTCTCATTGACCTCCCATTTTCCACACCTCCAGTGACAATAATCAAAGAACCCATCCAAAATGGCAGCTGCACACATGGCCCCAGGGATACAGATACTGCAGTGAATTCTCTGCCAGGCTGGGAAATCATCTCCTGTAGTCACCTCATCTGCAAGGTAAGGTTAATGATGCTGGCGTCAGCCCAGCCAGGGTGTTGTGAGTGGTAAAGATGCTATGCTCTGGAAGGCTGGGACCACTTGGGAGGCCAGGAGCAGTGGTTTTGTGCCTTTAATACCAGTGACTCTGGAGACTGAGGCAGGAGGACTGAGAATTCAAAACTGGCCTGGGCAACTTAGCAAGCCCCTCTCTTAAAATATAATAATAAAGAAAAATTAAATAATACTGGCCTTATATAATATGTTGACTACATTTAATAAGACACAGGGGTCAGCTCTTTGCTCTAGTAGTTAAGGGAGTCGGATCCCACATGACTGACCACTTGATTCAAATACTGGTCCTGGTGAGTTGAAACACACACTAGCCACATGTGTGTACATACACAAAATACCAACAGGATGGAGAAATGGGAGAGAAGTGATTGTAATACAATCATGCCCCACTGAAGAATGCTTTCTTCCTCTTCCTCTTCCACCTCTTCCTCTCTGTTTGTTTCTCTCTGCCTCTCTCAGAGCCCATGCACCCTCTGACAAAAGCAAACCCAAGACTCAGATTAAAAATATTTTCTAAGTTGGAACCAGCAGTTAGTGTAATGGCTGTGTCGCTGGACTCCCACGTGGTCGACCGCGGTTCGTGTCCCGGACCTGGTGGCTTGAGACTCACGCCGGGCGCGTGTGCGTGCGTGCCCAAGATCCCAAGAAAGAAAGAGAGAAAGTAAGAAAGAAAGAAAGAAAGAAAGAAAGAAAAAAAGAAAGAAAGAAAGAAAAATACTATTCTCCCTTCCCTGTTCCTACCTGGGATCACCTCTCATTTATCCTTAAGAGTACGTCAAGGCAGTAAAGGCAGGAGAGGTGAGGCCTTCAGCAGAAGAGTCCTCATGGCTCCTGTGAAGTAGTCATTTCAGGGTAAAAGAAATGAAGAGTTCCTATTGATAATTCAGCCTTCAGCAAACAAGCTAGCGTGGTAGGGAGCTCCTCTAGCTAGCCTTCTATCTCTGTCTCTGTGTCTCTGTCTCTCCTGCTTCCGTCTTCTAATTTTTTGTAATTATTCCTTTTTAAAATTTTTAAAAAAGTTTTTCTCTTGCTCTCAGCTCCACCTTTTGTCTTGTTAATAATCTCCTCTTGTCCTTTCACCCAGGCAGGATAGGCGAGGCCTTCAGCAAAAGATTCCTCATGGCTCCTGCGAAGTAGTCATTTTGCCCCTTGATTCCTCATGGCTCCTGTGAAGTAGTCATTTTGCCCCTTGCAGTTTCCTATTTTGTGTTTTTTTTTAAAGGAAAACAATAATTATAATTTTTTCCATTTTTTTCCTGTCTTTTTTTTTCTGTTTTGTTGTTGTTTCTTTCTCTTTTGTTTTCTTTTTTCTCATCTCTCCACTCCTCAGATGACTAGAAATCACCACAGGACCACAAGAAATATGGGAAAGCAAGAAAATACCTCATATCCAAGGGAAAAGAATAACTCCTCTTCATCCACAAGCAGTTCAATGGAAATCATGGAAATGTCTGATAAAGAATTTAGAACATTCATAATGGCGAAGCTAACAGACATGGAAGAGAAGAGAGACAATGAACTGCAGAAGAGAAAGGAGAAAGAAGTTGATGAGTTTCAGGAGGTGAGGAAATTCTTGCAAGAACTAAAAGAGGAATTACATACTTTCAAAAATAATCAAACGGAACTGTTAGAGATGAAGACTATAATACAGGAAGTCAAAATCTCCCTTGAAAGTATTAAAAGCAGACTACATCATACAGAAAATAGAATCTCAGGCGTAGAAGAGAAAATTGCTGGCCTAGAAAAATCCACCACAAAGACT